CTGAATGCGATGTATATTTGCTATTCTTGCAGTGTGATCTTGCATAGAAGTACGTACACTGACATTGTCGCGCCTCGATTCTTGCTTACGCGACGGGAGTCAGCGCGACTCGCTATTTATCGCGGTGCGAATCTCGTTTTCGCGGCGCGATTTTAAATGTCTTCGCTATTTTTCTTTTCTTTGAACTCGTGTAGTGATTTGTTTCGTTACTAGGATAGTTTTAAAGCTATTTTGCTTGCTGCCAGATTGTTTTTTACCGTCTCTAGGCACAAAGCATAGATCTGTAGGTGGTATTACTGATGACTTGGAAATTGGCTAAATCCTAATGAGCACAAAGATCCATTCAAAATTCGCCATTTATAGTTAGTGCAAATGAATATTTTTATGGTCCTGTGCTTGTACATGATTATTTGAAACATAAGTGACCGTTTTGGCTAAGAACCTGATTTGAGAACGATTGGCTTCGTTTAAAACGTCGGACAGTACATTACTCATGAAACTACCATGTTTTAATGCGTCCTCATGACGTCATTATATTGGGTTATTTTTTGTCATACAACGTTCTGACTGTAGCATATACGCAAAAATAAATTCCTTTCTTGGTACTATATATCAGGCATAAAAAGCTGCTCACTCATCAACTAATCGCTCAACAAATCACAAATGAGATTTTGAGCCATACAAAAACTCAGAAATACTGAGGCCTCATAAATTCATTCCGGGGCGCCAAATCTTAAACTTTGATTCGTATCGGAGGCAAATTGATCTCAACTCAAAGTAAGCAAAATCCTACAGCTCATTGATTCCCAAATTTTTCACAGGGATAGACTATCTCACTACATCGCGAGTTCGAATCTCGATCCTGGCACTTCAATTTTTTGCTTTTTTCTGCCAACAAGGCAAGAAGTACATTTCTTGTAGGCAAGAAATACATTTCTTGAGTAAGATGGTAAAAAGGTTGTTTCTTGCACAAGAAATGACAAGATCTTGGGACATTCTTGCCCCAAGATCTTGCTATTTCTTGGGCCCAAGAACTTTCGCTAGGGAATGCAGCTAATTCTCGACAATACTTAACCTGAATTTCAACAGAGAAAGATATCTTTATTGATTTTACGGCAAACTTTAGCGTAGTCTTATCTGTGCACTTGCAAAATGTGAATCATTGTTAATTGATGATGGTCTCGAATTTCTTTTTGAGACAACTTTACCAATTATTTTAGATTTATAATAAATAGCTGCTTTTCTATTGGAACATGGTGGTAACATAAGATGTCTTATCGTTGACTCTGATATATTTTTAATTTGAGGATATTGATCTTTTAAGTGATTAATGATTGCTGCTTTCAATTCTTTAGTACTAAGCCCATTGTAACGAACTTCATCTGTTCGACGATGGTTATCTGCACCAATAGCATTCAATTCAAGCACATTTTGTGCTGCCTACGTATAATATAGAGGGGCTGTGTTAGACCAGAAAGCTCGACTGTTCAAAATATTATCTCTCATACTTGTACAAGTTCTGGTATTTGTTCATGATAGGAAGGTGCTCCAACTCTTCGTTTTGCTTCTTTTCGATCCAAAATGTTTTATTCAATTCTTTTAATTGTTATTTGCTTGAATGAAAGAATACTTCTAAACTACTTTGATCATAACATAAAGTCAATGCTTGGATATGTTTCTGGAAAATTAAAATTAGTAAAAGTTTCACTATTCACCCTGAGAATACAAAGGGAAACTTCAGAATACATACCATAAACTTATTATGTAATATGTCATTTTCCATTATTGTAATTTTGAATAAAATGACTGTCTCAGACTACGGCATAACAATACACTCAAATTTTGCTCTATACTCTTTTTCTCAGTACAACCGATGCAATTAATTGAAACAGCCTAGTATACGCTTAATCAATTAAGACTTACCGTGTTATATATATTCTATACATATCTGTTTTTGCACATATACATACACAGATTTGTAAAAAATGTGAAAAACTGTGTCGTTTTTTTGTATAATCCCTTTAGCTTAATTAATCAGCTTATGGGCGAGTGAAATAAGACTTTTTTCATCTAACAACGGTTACGAAATATTCCCATTCTAATCCTACAATATTAAGAAATATATCATTTTGAAAATAAGTGGCCCACAAAGTTTTAATAAGAAATGACAATGTCTTCACGCTCAAAACCACATAACGGTGAGTAGTACTATGTAATATAAAGTTTTTAAGTTCTTCGAACTTAAAAGAATGGCGGTCTTTTCCGTTCTGTTTTATGCCATTATTCTTCTTTTTGATCTCTTTACCATGCTATGCACATCGCAGAGATAGATATAGAATGCATATACTGTTACTAAATTGATTAATGTATGTAATTTAATGTAAAAGAAAAAATACTTTTTTTGTGTTCAGCAGTGATATTGACGGTCCAATATCTCCACAAATTCAGGCGATCTTTTTCTGAAAAATAGCTGAGTATAATGTGTAACTTGTGTACTCGAAGTTAGGCTAAAAAAGGCAAGTAAGTACTCTCGACTGTGAATCAAGTTGACGGATTATGCATTAAATTCACAGTGAGAGAGAAAAAGATAGAAAACTAAATTCACGCTAAAATAGAAAATTTATTCTTTTTCATTTCATTCTTATATCTTCTGCAACTACCGTAAATAAGATAATAAAATCGACAGAAGAAAACTAAAGCGGGATGTTTGAAGTCCGAAGTTGAACTATGGTGTTAGAAAAACAGAATATGGTAAGGCGAAAGAAACAGAAAGAGCGAAAAGAAAACATCGAGTTTAAAATGCCATATTTAAATAGAACATTTCACATATAACGATACATGAATTCTACTCAAACGAGCTAGAGTTTTCATTTATCTCTGCTAGCGAGTAATTGATTTGAAAGATTTGCCTACCATGGCCCGGACAGAAAGCCAGAAAGCCATCTTAGTTGAACAAACTTCTTCCGGAACTTGACCATTAACATTTTGTTTGTTTAAGTGAATATTCTCTTTGATAAGAAAAGTGTTTTTTTTGTCACACAATCATATTGTGAACCAGATAACTTCAAAACCAGCCAGTATCCTTTTCGGAAAAATAGTCTATCTTAAAATCCGAGTGTGACTGCTTTACATTCGTTAAAAATTGCAGAAAGGGTGTCTTTTTAATTAGTTAACTTGTGAGAAAAGCAGCACAAACGAACTCAACAGTTGCGCAGCATGCTTTTTTCGTGCTGACGTTAATACAAAATGCCAAATTCTATTGGGTTGTATACAAAGAACAGCTGATCAATGTATTCTTCATAAAGAAATAAAAATAAACTCCAGAGATCAACCTTGGTTCACAAATTCACTGCCTGATCTCTATAAGAAGAAAAACAAATTTTATCGTTTTTATAAGAAAAACGCATCTGCACAAACAATACAGCGTTATAAAAATGCACAGAAACAATTTGATCAAGCATGTTTGAAAGCGAAAAAAGATCACATTGATCGTATAAATCATGTAAGCTGCGCAAGTAAATACTGGTGGAATTTATTAAAACACAGTGTACGTAAGGGTAATTCATGTTTTATACCCGTCTTGAAAAATTTTAATCGGCAGTTAGTTTACGATCATAGGGAAAAAGCTAACATTTTAAACGATCACTTTGTGTCTATTTGTACGATGCCTGCTAATCAGTATAATACAGATATTCAACTGGATACTTTGCCATCAACTAGCTCGAAATTACATGTTTTTAACGTCACAGGATCAGACATTGAGAAAATTTTATCTAAACTGGATGTGAATAAAGCAGCAGCTCCTGGAGTAACAAATCGTCTTCTTCGTGCATCCGCTACAATTATTAGTGAGGATATTGCACATATTTGTAGAATGTCGCTACATGAATCTATCTTTCCAGAATGCTTTAAAACAGGATATGTAAATGCTTTATTCAAAAGTGGAGATCGTACATCACCAGACAGTTATCGTTCTATTCACTACTGCCCTCACTATCGACAGTACTTGAGAGAGTAGTGTATAAACAACTATATGAATACTTACAGAAGAATAAGTTGCTGTCTGTGTTTCAATCAGGCTTCAGGAAGAGTCACGCAACTATTCATCAACTTGTTGAGCTAGTTCAATCTATTTTTGAAGACAGAGAAGCAGATAAGCAAATTCAAGTTGTATTTCTTGATTTCAAGAAAGCTTTTGATAAAGTTTGGCATAAAGGTTTGTTATATAAGCTTAGTAGGAAAGGCATATGTCCACAATTGATTGCATGGCTAGAAAGTTATCTTCATGATAGAGAAATTATTACTGTAGTTGGAGGAAAACACTCAATAACTCTTCGTATCAATTGTGGAATACCCCAAGGCAGCATACTTGGTCCATTGCTCTTCCTAATCTATATTGATGACATAGGCAGTGAATTGTCTTCGGTGACTCATATGTTTGCGGATGATACACTGCTTTACTACAGTGACAAAGATGATGATTTAGTGAATGATACATTGAATACTGATTTAGATATTGTCTCTAAATGGTCCAACCCGATGGTATTTACCTTTAAATTTTCCAAAATGTGTCACTATGAATTTTTCGAAAAACCCATCGCCAAAACCGCCTACAATAAAAAACCACGTTCTTCAACTAGTACATGCACATAAACATTTAAGAGTTTATTTTGAATCATCGTTGTCTTGGAAGAAGCATATTTCCTTTATAGTTCAAAATGTAATTCGATCTTGGGGCTAATGGCAAATTTAAAAATACACTTTTATGACTCCTGTGCTTGATCAGTTATACAAAACACTTAATTTCTCTGTTTTAAATTAAGTCGATATCATTTATTCTTCAGAATCTGACACAGCACTAAAGCCTATTGCACATCTACAATACTGTGCCGCTCTTCTTGTTTCAGGTGCGTTACATTTGTCAAGTAAAGAAAAGTTCTAGACATTCTAGGTTGGACGGATTTATTAAAAGTGCACGACATACATAAATTGATTCTTCTGCGAAGTACTATTTCAGGAAATACTCCGAAATATCTGAATGTTCATCTTCAACGTAGAGAGCCGTTCCGTATACTTTACGTAGACGTGCTACTTTTAAACAAACAACTTTAGATTCTCGCGCAAATAATTCATTCTTTCCTTATCAGCATCAATAGTATTGATGCTGATAAGGGTATGGGAGTGTTCAACACTCCCATACCCTATGTTACTAAACATAAACATCTTGGCTTAGTACTGAAGAATAACCTTGATTAGACAGCGCATGTAGATTATATCCTGTATAAAACCCACCGTTTGACTGATTTATTGAAACGCTATTCACGTGTGCTGGCCCGTCAACCTCTGGATATAATCTACAAGGCTTACGGGTTGAATTTTCTATGGATCTGCTATCTACGGTAATACAATCGTGAGAAATATGGATCGTTTCTGACACATCAACCGCCGTTTTATTTTTTAATGGAAATGCTCAACAAAATTTGGAATAATGATCTATGCAATTAAGAATCCAATTATAAACAACATTTTCTGAAACTTTGTCTGGTCTGGTCCGCATGTCTACCAAATCAATTTGTGTCATTACACCCAGAGAAATAATTTGTTTTGATACAACCTGATGTTTAATTGGTTTACGTAACTAACATGGTAAACATTGTTTCAAGAAAATATCAACAGCAAAACGAGGTAACCAAGAATAGTGAGAATTTATTTCATAAACTGTTTTATGTCGACCACCGTGTGATATATTATTATGACATTCACCGATTACATTGTAAAACGATTCAAAAATACAAACAGGCTTCTTAGCTTTAGCACAGCATACAATATCGTTACCCGCAATTTTCGACAAAACAAAATTCTGACGTGCCCAATAAACGAACTGTGAAGATAATGAAACTGATGACTTACCCTTTTCTAGCGTTAATGCTTTAGTAATATTATCGTAAATTTCTTTTTTCATTACGCATTTTTTTTTTAAATTTTAGCTCAAGGAATCAATATACTTGCCTAATTCATTATAAAACAATTTTTCTTGACTTTCATTTGGATTCGTAGTAATAGAAGAAGATGAAGTCAAAGCTACTGTTGATGTCATGTTAGTGTTACTGAATAAGTAAAATTACTGATACAATTACTGATATAAAATTGATCAATACAGTCAAGTGCCGCGCTATATTTATAGTACAGTTCATAACAGTAGTATTGTTATGAAGAATTCTTTCTCTTCTATTTCTTCTCTCTCCTAGTTGATTTTCTTTATTATCTTACACTATTTCACTTTATTTTCCATAACACATAAAGATAGATTATATACTTTCTAGTCAGTACAACAATACTATTCATCTACTATAGACGACGATCTTTATCGTTCTTCTTTTCTCTATTTTTCTGCTCTTTATTCACTATGATAATCTATTTCGTTTTCTGTTTTTGTTTAACACATATGGCGTGACTTACTTTGTTCAAAATTCGAATATTTTATTGCTTTTTTTCTAGCTTATTTCAATAGTGATGTCAACTGAACCCATTTTTACTTGTAAAGTATCATCCACTTTTGAACAAACTTTTATATCTTTTCTTGACTTTTTCTACGATAAAATTGAATAACTAAAGGCAATATGTACTTTTTTACCGCTCATCCCACCATTTTGTTTTTATTTGAATTTTGACTAAAAATCTCAAAAAAAACAAAAAAACTTTGAATTTGAATTTTGACCGGGCAGATTTAAAATCTGACCGAATTTAAAGTTTGTCCGCAACATATATATCAAAAAGATGCAC